GATGAAGGAGCTCATTGCACATGAGACATGACATTAAGTCATATGATCAAGGTGGAGAAGATCAAGACAAGACTTGGCTTGATGGACCGGTTGCAAGCGTGAAGGGCAAGTCGGAGGCTTTGGAGCGATGGACCGCGTGGCGGTGAAGCTTAAGCAAGACTTGGCACCGATGGACGAAAGCAACGGTGAAAAGCAAGTAAAGTCAAGATCGATGAACCAATACGGTCACGTGATGATATGAAGTGGATCATATCATTTGGTGATTGGTTGGTGCATATGTTGCATCAACATTGGAGGAGATGGAATGGAATGCGCAAGGCAAAGGTATAACCTAGGGCATTTCATTTCACTGGTCATAGGTGTGTAGAGAAGTTTATGACTGGGTTTAGGATAGATGGCCGTACTATCAAGAGGGGCAAACTTGTTTGCATATCGGTCATCTAGTGCCACTCGTGTGATCTAACTTTGCATCATCGCTAGGATAGAGTGGCGTGGCAAGTTGAGTGGCTAAATCCTTTGGGAAATGATTGTGAAAATGCTAACACACATACACATGGTGGTGTACACTTGGTTGTGTTGGCACATTTACAAAGGAGATGAAGTTGGAGTTGATGTGGATCAACTCGACGATGAAACAGAGGCGAGAAGGGTTCGAAACTTCATCGGCGGTGCCACCGGCGCCCTGTACAGAAAAGCTAGGGTTTCACATGGTGCACTGGATGCTGGTCACGTAGTGACTGGATGCTGGGGTCCTACGTCCGATCAGTGGCAGCAGAGAACGCACAGGCGTCGGTCTTCGACCGGACACTGGCGTTGAAAGTGACCAGACGCTGGCTGGGTGCGTCCGGTCACGCTGGTGTGGCGGTGCATAGAGGAGACAGTGAGTGATCAGATGTTGGGCGCGTCCGGTCACAAGTGGAACCTTACTAGAAGTGACCGGATGGTGGGGTCCTATGTCCGGTCATACACTGTGCTGCGTCCGGTCGCAACTTAACCGTTGAGATCGAGCGCTCAGTATTTGAAGCCAGGGATGATGTGGCAGCCATCCATTGACTGGACGCTGGCAGGGTGCGTCCGGTCGATCTGACTGGAGCGTTCGGTCACCCTGAGCTGTGCCCAGTGAAGGGGTACAACGGCTCTATTTTCGTGGGGGCTATACATAGAAGGGGTCTCGGCCTTGGGTTGGTTGCTGAGCACACTAGAGCCTTGGTGGCTTGTGTGGTAGTGCTTGGGAGCCCTCTAAATCACTTGAGTTTGATAGTATTCATCCGATTACGTGAGTGAGTGATTTTAGTGCGATTGCATCGTGAGGTTGCATCAAGTGGCACTAGGTGGTCATCTTGCAAGCCGGTGGTGCTTGTTACTCTTGGAGGTTGCCACCTCCTAGATAGCTTGGTGGTGGTCTCCGTCGAAGCCCGCAAGAAGCTTGTGCGGTGCTTTGGAGAAGAGCTTTGTGAGGGGCATTGTGCTCGCCCCGCGGGAGCCACGAAGAGCAACTCTAGTAAAGCGTGTCATTGAGCTACCCTCACTTTCGGGGTAGGTTCTTGCGGTGCCTGACGTGCGGGCTTGGCGGGTGATGCCAATTAGCCGCCTAACCACCAAGTGACCGGTCGACACAACGAGGGCTAGCGTGTTGGCAAGCACGTGAACCTCAGGAGAAAAATCACCGTGTCAACTTTGTTCTTCCCGTTGGTTTCCATCCTCGTTATAGAAGCTTGTAATTACTTTCATATACATTGTGCTTGCGTAGTTGCTCTTGTAATTAGTTTGCTTGTATAGCTCACTAGTTACCTTCTTGCTTGTGTAGCATAGAAGTAGCTCCCTTGCGTGACTAATTTGGTTTGTGTAACATTGTTAGTCACATTGCTTAGTTTGTGTAGCTAAGTATTTGCGCTCTCTAATTTGGCATTGGTTGCCTTGTTATTGAGCATTGCTAGTAAGCCTAGGTGGCTTTGTGCTTTTGCTTACTAGCATGTGTAGGAGCTCCCTCATTGCTTGAAGTACTAGTGGCATAGGTTTGTATGACCTTGCTTCTAGAATTGATTAGGTGAGCTCTAGCTAGCTCGGCACCTTTGTTGCTTAATTAGGATCTTTGCAAGGTGCTAGAGAATATAGATAGAGGGGTGTAGTCTTGGCTAGACCGATAGTTTTAATTCCGCACTTGTTTCGGTTAGCCGACGCGATTAAGTTTTAGAAATGACTATTCATCCCCCCTCTAGTCGCCATCTCGACCCTACAGAGACCCTCCAGGGAGGGTCCAACGGCTCCATCCGCCTACTCAAGGTGTATATCAGTAAATATATTTATTAAATTTGTAAAAAATATATGTTCCAATAGTGGATTTATTTGGTATTTTTCTGAACTTTATCAGAACTAGAAAGTTTGATTTAGGGTAAACCTAAACAACCTATATGTTTTGGAACAGACTGGATATATCATTAGATAGAGCTAAGTGACATTGGTTTTGACTTCCTAAGACTAAAAGTGAGCTTCGTGTAACAGTTAACTCTATAAATCTTATTAACCTTGTATTGGTAGTGATACTAATTTAGTATTATAAGTATTGATGCAATTTTCTACGGCAGCACTAGTGTCCGGACGTCTGGACGCCTGCGTCTTGTCCGAACGCCCATGGCTGCTCCACCCTGTCCGCTTGGATTCGCGTGCCACCTGTGCAAGCCCCGTTTCCCACGCTCACATCCGAACCGCCCACTTCAGATCCACTGCCCACGCTGCTTGGATAACTCGCCCCCGCCTCTTCCATACCGGCGCGACTCCCGTCTCTTCCAGGCCGCCCAAAGACTCGCCCCGCCTCTTCCACAACAGCACCGCGCGACCTGTGCCTCCTCCCCACATTGATGGCGGCGGCCCACGCCTCCTCCATGCGTCGGTGGCCGTGGCTTGGCCTTGCCCTACCTCATGGACACCAACGCCGGTGGTTTGCACTTGCAACACTAGAATGCAACATACATTTGAAACAGATAAAACATTTGGGACATACACTTGCAACATGTGTGTGAAACATATGCAACATCCACATAAAATAATTGCAACATGAAAAACACTTAATGCAACATAAGACAAACAGTTGAAACATTTGGAACATAATGTTGCAATATATGTGTGAAAACAGATGCAACATCCAGATAAAAAACGATTGCAACATATGTCTGGAAACAGATGAAACATTTTGAACAAACGCTTGCAACATGCTTCTGAAACACTTGCAACATATGCAACATCCCCCGATCTACTTTTGCAACATCCATAAAAAAACAACTGCAACATACCTTTGAAACGACTGAAACATACATTTGCAACATAGGGGAGGAGAAGCCTGGACCGGTCGATTCCAGCCGTCAGGGTCAGAGCCGATGGCGAGCGGCGGTGCACGAGCACCACCGCCACTAGTACCGAGCTTGGCTCGGTGGCGACTATGGGGGATGGGGGCGAGAAGCGCCATGGCCGCCAGGGTGGGGGGAGCTCAGTCGTTGGGGTGAGAAGGCGCCGCCGGGGGTGGGGAGGGCGTCGTGCCGGGGGAGGAGAGCCACCCACTCTCCTGCAACACCGTTGTGCCACCCCAATGGATCTCGACGGAGGCGAGTGGATCTCGCTCCAGCTCTATGGATCTCGCCAGGGTGGGGGAGAGGGCTGTCGGATCAGCGAGCGTTGGGGGCTCCCGGTGGGGGAGGGCGTGGGCGTTGGTGCGCTGCGACATGGGGTGAGGAACGCGGAAGGGGTAAGGGCGGGAGCGGAGCGGAGCGAGGCGTGCGGGAGTTGATTTTGTTTTTTTAGGTGAGCGGCACATGCGGCAGTGAGTGGAGCGAGACGTCCGGCCTTCCGGGCGTCTTAATAGTAGCGTTACCGTATCTATATCTATATCTATATCTGTATATCTTATATTTTCAACTCCACTAGCAATTTATCATGTCATGCAAAGTGTCCACATCAGCATCCACTAGAACATCCCACTAGCCCATGCAACTATCTCGCCATGCAAAGTGTCCACATCAGCATCCACTAAGACATCCAACCAACACATGCCATCATGTCTTCATTCAAGCTATTCACATTAGCAAACTACATCATTTACTAACATATATTTAGTTGGTCCACATCAGAATGTTATAAATCATTCACTAACATGTATTATGATATTTATTCAATCTAGCAACGCGCGGGACGTTCTTCTAGTTTTCTATATTGAGAAGAGTACCAACATCTATGACTAATTCAGTCAAACTTTTAATGTTACTTCAAACAACTCTAGAAGTGAATTTATTTTGAAACCAAGGAGTAGATCATGGAGTACCCTTTCAAGAATAAGGGGATCAACAACTTCTGAAAAGTTGCATACATGCGTTGACGTAATATTGCAATTTAGTTCCATGGATGCATAGACATAATAGTTGCCGAAACATGTCAGCTTCAACAACAAAAAAAGGGAGCTAGAAAAATCATCAGGCTTAGAATGCAAGGCAAGGGAAAGAACACAAGGAATTATAATGTGAAAAGAAAAAGAAGTTAAGGGCCTATCCTAGAAACGCTAGTATTAAAAACAGAAGGCTTCCATTTTTCATAAAAGAGAACACAATTGAAATAGATAGCCTCTCTTCTGCGCAATGGGTAATGGAGTACATATACGAAAAGCCCATAACAAATAGTGAACCATTGCCTGATTTCTGAGCCATATAAATCTTTGTATTGGCAAGGCAAGATATTGTGCACAGATATGAATTAAAAAAAAAAAACTTATCATGTATTAAAATTAGAAGATCATATGCATGAACAATTCTACACTGGATTTGTCCAGCCCAACCCTAGCCACAAATCATGTGCCAAATCATCCACGGACTGGATGGGTAACATTTTGTATGCCAGCACAATTGGGATGACCGTATGACAGAATGGTTGCAAAACTTGCCGCATTTGGCAAGCCTATACATTCGCTATATCAGACAAGGTCAGCAGCTACAATGTCGATTTTTGAAGTTTCTGTCTTACACATTATCAGGCCAAAATTCCCTGAAAAAAGCCATCTCAAATTCCTTCTCTTTCAAGTGCTTCTCCTCTTCTTGCATCTTTCGTATCCTCTTTGCAGCTAACTTTGCCCTTTTCTTTGACGGCACATCCTGCTGCAACAGTGACATGTTTGAAACAGTAAGTTAGAACCCCCATCAGGCAATGTGATGATTAAAAGTAGACAGTTTAAGGTATCTAAAGGCTTAATAAAGAAATAAGCAGTAATATCTATTATTTACTAAATCATACGAATATTAAACAAGGCAATGCAAGGAGAGCTTAGGTGTCTATTAAAAAAAGTAGCCGTTCCAAGTTACACAACACAATTCAGTAAGTCAAAAAGGTCAGCAGTATTGTAGACTACCAAAAAAAAATCAAGATAAACAAAAAATGGGGAACGACAACTCTATTACAGTAATAAAAAAATTAAATGGATTGTAACAATCGCGTCAGCAGCTCACCTTGGGCTTTTGGGGATTTGTTTCAACATCACCCTCAACCTTAGGCTTTGGTTTTGGTTCTTTAGAACCTAAACCACGCTTGTTATTCTTAACACGAGTTTCTACAGGCTCCAACCTTCCCTGTTCCACACAGTTGAGGCTAGTGAGTAACAGAGTAAGCAATAACAAACAAAATAGACCAACTGTGCTACACTGTACACTGGCTTGATCAAGTGTCAGTGTGCCACATAACCACAATTTCTTAAATAAGATCGCCAAACCGTAACTCTTGATTAAAGTGCATTGATGAGAAAGATAACTGAATCAGTCAAAACTACACTACTGCTTAGCTAAAACAGGATGACAGGACCCTTCAAAGAAGGCAGGAATCGTGCAAGAATGAATTTCGCAGGAATCAGTTCAATTTCACAGGAAAAACACAGGAAGAGGAAAATTTTCCCGAATTCTAAACAGGCCCTAAACATTTGGAGTTACCAGCTATGGAGATGAAAAATTATTAAATTACAAAAATCCATGTGATCAGCGACCCACACAAACAACAATTATTTCCCCATGCCTTTTGCCCTCTGAACTGATCTGTCAAAAACCTATACAATTCAGACAGTCTATTTGCGATTAGTGTGCAGAAAGGCAATAATGCTGAAACCGCACAGACTGAAGCATCAATATGCAGATGACAATGGCATAACTACAACAAATACCACTAAAATCGGTCGACGTTAAATTTTGGGGAAAATGAAAATATGAAGTTGTGATGCGGGAGTAAGCAAGGATCCAGACACAGACCTGCTCCTGCGCTCCAAGGCCAGTGCCCTCCTTCCAACCAGACTTCTTCAGCAGCTGAAGCAAATTCAAGAAACGAATCAAACCCTAAGCAGCAGCCAGCAGGGTGCCCAATCAGGAAACTACCAGCCATCATGCGGGACATGGGGCGACGCACGTACCTGGAATCCGATGTTGGAGGACCCGATTGCCGCCATCGCCTCTTCTCGTCTCTTCCCCTCCCCTCCGGGCTCCGGCGCCCGGGTCGCCGCGCTCCTCTCTCTCTCTCTCTGTCCTCCTCCGGTCTCAGCCTCTCAGGCCGTCACCCGTCAGGCGTCTCGTTGTCCTGTGCGATGCAACCGCGATGCGCCTGTTTGGGTGAGGTCGGTCTCCGCGTCCCGGGCCGGGCTCGGGGCCTCGGGCCCTTGCCGTGCCGTGCGCGGCTCAGACTCGTGCGCCGACCTGGGTCACGAGTCGGTATCTTCCCAGACTCAATCACGGCCGTCCGTTTCCGATCGGACGTCGCACACCTGCACAGGAGAGCGAGCCCGGCCTCCGTACACGGAGATAATTGGAATTTGCCATTATGAAACGTAGGTTTCGTTCGTTTATCATCCCGAAAAAAGGATTCGCTCGCTAGACACCTTTGAGTATTTTTTTGCCAAATTTAATTTTTTTTTTCACGACCTCTTTTCTTTCCCGTTTTGCCCCTGCTTCTTCTTCGACGGCAGAGGCAGAGGAGCTTGGCCAAGCGCCCAAGCGGCGGCTGGACCTGGAGAGCCGCCATGGCACGCCTGCTCCTCCCCGTCTCCGTCCCTGTCCCAGTCCCCATCTCCGCTAGCATTGTGCTGCCGTCGTCGTCTAGTACTGGTACCAGTACCGCGCGGTGCCGAGGCCGCAGCGTCCGCGTCCACGTCGTTGTGCCCGCCACGCAAGGACAAGAAGGACCGCGTTTGATCCCGCGGCGGCGCCACCGTTCGGGCTGGCCGACATCCGCGCCGCCATCCCCAAGCACTGCTGGGTGAAGGACCCCAGGCGCTCCATGGCCTACGTCCTGCGCGACGTCGTCCTGGTGCTGGGTCTCGCCGCCGCGCGCCTCGACAGCTGGCTCGTCTGGCCGCTGTACTGGGCGGCGCAGGGCACCATGTTCTGGGCGCTCTTCGTGCTGGGACACGACTGCGGGCACGGCAGCTTCTCCAACAACCCCAGCCTCAACAGCGTCGTCGGCCACATTCTGCACTCCTCCATCCTGGTGCCATACCATGGCTGGTGTGTATTCTACTGTACTGAACTGAAATAGTAGTGATTCAATTCAAATCAATTCTGCTGCTGCTTCTCGATCACTTAGCCGATCGACACAAGTTTGACAATGCAATGCAATGCAACTCTGTCTATCTATTGTGCAAGTGCAGGCGGATTAGCCACAGGACGCACCACCAAAACCACGGCCACGTCGACAAGGACGAGTCATGGCATCCCGTACGCCTCCTGCTCCTGCCCTGCAATTATCTTGCATTGCATGTTTGCACTAATAATCTAGGATGATGTATCGGCTGTACAAGAGTCTGGGCAGCGTCGTCCTAATGCTGCGCTTTCAGGCTGCCCTTCCCCATGCTCGCCTACCCATTCTACCTGGCCAACAGGAGCCCCGGCAAGTCAGGCTCCCACTTCCACCCGGCCAACGACCTCCACGGCGTGCTGGCTCGCCATGGCCGCCCTCCTAGCTGCCCTCACCTTATGAAAAGCAGGGGCAAAACGGGAAAGAAAAGAGGCCACGAAAAAAAAATTGGCAAATAAAAATATAAAAAACATTTGAGCGAGTATGTCTAGTTTTATAACGGGAAACGAGCTAATTTCTTTTGCGGGGTACATCCACCGCACGGGTCACACGGCACGGCTGTTGGCCACAGACCAAAAACAGGTTCACAACCCGCCGCCGCGCGCCGGGATCTCGATCGACTCCGGCTGCCACGGAAAGCGGAAAGAAGCCAGGGATCGCGGGTCAAGATGCAGCTCTTCGTGAGGTCGCTGACGAGGACGATCACGCTGGAGGTTGAGCCGTCGGACACGGTGGCGTCCGTGAAGGCCAAGGTGCAGGACATCGAGGGCATCCCGCCGGACGAGCAGCGCCACATCTTCGCGGGGAAGCAGCTGAAGGACGGCCCCACGCTGGCAGACTACAACATCCACAAGGAGGATATGCTGAACCTGTGCCTCCGCCTCCTCGGCGGCGGCAAGAAGCGCAAGAAGAAGACGTTCACCACTCCCAAGAAGGGCAAGCACGAGCACAGGAACGCCGGGCTCGACGCCGTGCTCGGGCGGTACAGGGTCGATGAGGCCACGGGGAAGGTGGAGAGGCTGCGCAAGGAATGTCCCAACACGGAGTGCGGCCCAGGCGTGTTCATGGCAGCGCACGCCGACCGGCACGCCTGCGGCAGGTGCGGCCTCACCAACGTCGTCGAGAATCAGAGCGCGGCCGATAGCTAGGTCGCTTCATATGTTTTAGGAGTCGGATAATATGTTTTAGGAGTCGGATAATTAGTTCAAGCAATCATACTGGAATCTTTTTTTCCTGATTTCAATGTTTTCTTATGAATGCTTTTTCTTATCTTATGAAAATGAACTGACTTCTGAGAAATTCATGTGTTCCATACAGATCTTAGTGAATATAAAATTTCTTAGTGAATATGAAATTTTGCATTTTATACGGCATCTTGATGGGAGTGGATTATGGCCTCCTTTTCTTCTGCAAATAGAAGTGTTTATGTGGCTTTTCTTTTAAATAGTTGTTATTGTCTGACATTCGATCTGGTAACCCGCTGTTGATAAATCAGATCGGATAAATCAGATCGTTTGAGTGTGATCATAGTGTTCGGGTGGCTTTATCTACTGCGTCTGCACTCTACAGGCTAACGAGCTGAAAAATCATGCACATTTCACATTTTGCAAACAGGATGCTGATGTCAAGCAACAGAAGGCTCCAAAAACTGCCCTAAAGCATTCCAGGTAGGTTAACAACAAATCCAGGTTATAAGCAAGGGTTGCAGTCATATCTGTGATACATTGTTGAACTAAAAGAGCAACAATAAACCAGAAAACAAAACGCTTTCAGTGTGGTCTGGTGGAATGCAACAGCAAATGAAGACTCACCAAATTTTGGTGTCATTGACTTGTCTATACAGATAGCTATGCAATATGTCAAGATCACACGTCGCTTTCCTATTCCAAAAACATGTATGCGCCTAGCTACAATAGCAGCTGTTGGCCACATCACCAAGTTCGTTCGTTCATTGGCAAGGGACCTCAACTCTGGTGGCTACCCTAACAAAACTGTGCCCCTTCCTAGAAGGCCAACTCCTCTTTCTCTTCAGCTGCAATTGGCAGCGATCCCTCTGAGGCAGCGTCCCGGATCTTGTTAGCCTTCTCGTTGCTTATGCCCAGCAAGTACTGCAACCTTGATAGCTTCTCAGGCCTCGGAATGCTTTTTAGGTAGATGGCATATAGATCATCTAGCTCTCCTGGTGTGGGCCATGACAAGGGTTGCGATGCAGGGACCGCAGCGTCACATGCGAGCATGTCATTCAGAGATGAAACCTGCAATAGGAATTTTATAGTTTGTGCACGTACCAAAATTACATTAGTTTTCCAGAACTGAATTTTCAAGGAGCAAATAAAGGGGAACTTAGTACCATACCACATCATCTCTCTTCTTCTGACGAAGCAAGGCAATAGCCTGAACAAGGGAGTTCTCCAACCTAACCTTTGCAATATCCTGAACAATTGACTTGGCCTTCTCAGAACTTATTATGAGATCAGCTGGAATCTTTACATACATTTCCTCTTCATCAAAATCCCCTGTACCTGAAGAAAAGATCTCTTCAACAGTTTTCCTATAAATGCTTTCTCGCTGCGGCTCCCCAATCAAGCTATCTAGTTGGAAGTTTGCTTCCCTCAACCCTCGCACCTGCTGTATACCGATCTGACCCCGAGCAACAGAGGCTTCAATAGCAGAAGATAACTTTGTAGTTGTAATACCCTTAATGATTTTCTGTGCATGTTCAGTAGGCAAACCAACCTGCTTTTGAATCTTAGCAAGCTGGTCAGCCTTAGCCTCTGTTAATTTCCCATCAGCAAGAATTACTTCCGCCTGTTGCACAAAAGCTTTCTCTGCAAACTTAATGTGAACATCTTGAGCTTCTTTGTGAGTTAAACCAAGTATGTCACCCAATTGCTTTAGCATTAAAAACTCTGAATCGTCTTTCTTTGTAGAGATAGCTGTTCCAAATGATACGTTAGTCGTCTCCCCAGTGATGCAGAACATCAAGTATGTTTCATACAGCTCAGCTCTATCCCTCAATGGAATGTCATCCTTGAGAGTTATCTCTTTCTGGCTTGACTTTCTCAGCTTTTCTTTGAGCTCTTTATCAGGTCTAGTCTTTCTCAGTGTGTCCAATGATTCCCATTCATGTTCATCATCCTCTCCCTCAGATTCTGATGCTGCACTTGATGCTTCAGTTTCAGCCACTGGAGATATCTCTCCTTTAATGTCAGCTAAAAGCTCGCTGACAACAACTATGTTGAAGGAAATTAACTTCTTCAGCTCTTTTGCAGTTTCAATGCGGTTCCCAGCTTCTTTTGCTCTCTGAATGTAGCTCAAGAATAACTTCCGTACCTGATCATTTGAATGTGACAACTTAGAATAGTGAACTAGCTTTGCTGAAGGAATAAATATAAAAGAATACACATAGCATATATCAGAGAAGATCAGGAGAAAATAAGGTGGTATCATTTTTCAAAGGCAAGATACATACTGCTTTACTAAAGATCGCCATGGCAGCCTCCGTTTTCAGGTTTAGACTTTGTGCTGCCTTCCTAACAGCCTCTCGTCTATCAGCATTATATCCATCAACAGATGCAATGGCTTCCTTGACAACCTGAAATGTCCTAACAAATGTAAGAGCACTTATACAGAACACGCCATCAGCTTTGCCTGAACAAGATATGGAACAAAATCTAAACAACTACAAAGGAGTTCAATCAAAAAGATTTAGAGTCACCTTTTCGAACAGTTGTCCACAGATCTCAGTATGAGCAGCGTCCACAGTTTCTTGAGGGATGCAGAGACGCACTTGGAATGCCATCAGAGCTTCCACTTCCTCCTTGCTCAGCTCTCCATCAGCTACAAACTGCTGAAGCTTCTGTCTGTAAATTTCTGAAGTTTGAAGAGGAATTAATAAGCATGATATTCTGAATACAAACTGAATACTGGCAAGGCCAGAAATTTTTTGAATTAAAATCTAAAATCATAACTCGTAATGGCCTAGTTTGCATGGTATTAATATACTTATACATACAATTTATAGTATTAGTATTGTTAGTATTATGAAAATAGATGTGCGGCTTCTTTTGGTCAAAACATTTGTGGCATACTTTTTTGTTGGTGAATTTCATCCGTGACCATAATCAACACACTCAATATGAACCAAACTCAAGTTACCTTTCCAAAACATATATATAATATATATACTTCCTGCAGTCAAGGTATAGCTTTGACAATATAGCAGTCTAAAATACCAATGCAGCAGTATCAGCATGACAGCACAGAGATTACAGTGTAAAGATCCCTTGTATAACGGATTGCCATTGAGCAAAACCTCTTATTTACTACAGCAGACAGCTGTGTTGTGGAATTAATGTTGCAAGAAGAAAAAAAATGTCGAGATGGTACCTTCATGCATCTTGCTAGCCAGTTCAGGATCAAACTGTAACTTCTCGCAAAGAATTTGGAGGAATGCTGCTTTGCTAGGGACTGAAGCCAATTCAGTGTTAAATGATTTAGCAAGTGTCTTTCTGTATATGTGAGCTTTAACATCAGACAAGATTCCTTCTGTTTCCCGCTTCCCCAGTCCAAATATGTTTCTCAGTTCATTCAGAGGGGAAAGCTGCATTTTTTTAAGCACAGAAAAACTTCTGTTGAGATACTACAGAATAAATAACATCTTTATGGTCAGAAGGCATGTGACAGACAATACAAGATGCTGGTACAAGCTGACAGTGATCTGTTATTTTGATGAAGAGCAAAGCAGCATTGCAAAATTGAACTGATCGACTAAAATCAAGCTAAATTTTCTGATGGGGCCTATTCCAATTTGCCAGATCTTCAATTTATTTATGGCTAAGCTCGATTGACTAGCTTGTGTGTTCTTTTTCTCTCTTGGCTGCCTGTTGCATGCCGCCTTTTCTACCTTTCACCTATGCAGGTTTGTCTTCATTTTCTGTAACTCCTCTTCATTTTTTTTT